AGGAAAACCCTGTTAAATGCCGAGCATTTTATGAGTTTCTAACGTCCACTTCGAAAAAGTCCATTCAAATTTTGAACGCCATGCTTACTTCCCTCTCTTGATTCATGGCGAAATCCGCCCAACACGCGCTCCCTCTCTTCAAGCTCCTCTACAAGGAAGCTGCCTTTGAATGGACGAGCGAATGCGAGCAAGCTCTCACCCACTTGAAGCAAGAACTATCGCAATCGCCCGTCCATTCTAGACTAGAGAAGGATGAAGTCCTCTATCTCTATCTGGCCATAGCCTTCGAGGCAATAAGCACAACGCTAATCAGAGAAACCCCAGAAGGACAAAGACCAATCTACTTTATGAGCAAGGCCATGCAGGGCCCATAAATGAGATATCAGCAAATTGAAAAGGTGGACCTAGTCCTCATCAACACGGCGAGGAGACTCACGCACCATTTCCTGGTGCATACCATATTCGTCCGAACGGATCAACCAATAAAGCAACTGCTCGGAAGGCCTGACATGGCGAGCAGAATGCTGAAATGGTCGTTAGAATGCTCTGAGTTCGATAGCCAGTACGAAGGCCAGAAAGAACTCAAAGCTCAAGCATTGGCCGACTTTGTAGCCGAAATAACCTTGCATGCACCCCCAGACGGAGCCCGTTGATGGACAATCTTTGTCGATGGTGCCTCCACTTCAACGGGAAGTGGCACGAGAATTATATTTGAAAAGGAAGAAGGAACCCTAGTTGAGGTCTCCCTTGAATTAACCTTCCCGAGCTTGAACAACCAGGCCAAGTACGAAGCATTTCTAGCAGGTTTACGCTTAGTCGAAGACCTGTGAGCCGAGGAAGTGAAAATCTTCACCGACTCTCATCTCGTTGCATCCGAGGTCCAGGGAGAGTATTAGGTGAAAAATGATCATCTTACTGAATATTGGGCCCTGGTCCAAGAGAGAAAAAAGAAATTCAAATTCGTGGACATGCAACATGTTCCCCGCGAACATAATGCCCCGACAGACGTCCTGCCCAAACTAGCAAGCACAAAGAAGAAAAATGGGGAACAAGTCGATGATACAGAAAATACTTCCTCGACCAAGCACCCAAAGACTCCCCTAGACTTTGGGAGTATTAACCATTAGGGACAACGACTGCTGGATGACCCCCGTGCATGACTACCTCACAAAAGGGTAGCTACCCTCCGACTCGAAAGAAGTGGCTGTGGTCAGATGAAGAGCCTGCTCGTACGTCCTAGTCGAAGAAAAACTAAACAGGATAGTGTTTTCCATTGCCCTCCCCAAATACATTGACCTAAGCGTGTTGCACCCCAAAATTTTCCCTCCTAATTGCATTTTTATCTTGGCTTGGACTTTGCATTCATCTGCATCATTCCAATGGGTCATATGGATAGCACACATTTTCATAAAATAGATCGACTGAGGTTCAAAAGACCAGCAGTTAGGGAGCTAGGGTTTACAACTGATTTGAGGTGTATGTATTGAATAAGTTTGATTATCCAGGGTCTTCTCGGTGTACAAGGTTTTGGAATTAAGGTTTTGGTTCAGGCTCATTTTTGGACTTCTTCTCCACCAAGTTACAGGGATAATATCTTCTGATGAACAACTGGTTGTAGGTCATTCTGGTCAAGAACTCCAGGGCGTAACCTAGCATATGTGGGCTTCGAATCATGGCGTCTCTTCATATAAGTATGCTTATCATTTGATTAGGATTAATGACTATGACATGGCATTCATCTACTCTCCAGTTAATCAATTTAGGTTTCATCGAATCATGGTTCAAAGATGCTTCATCTGGATGTTTTATCTATCCATTTGAACTAAGGAATCAAAGTCGTGAGGTGTGGTTATCAAGGTTCTTTATCTTCAAGATATAATTGGTTTTATCCAGTCTTAGCAAGTGCTAAGGTTTTCATTTGCGCGACTAGGGTTTCACGTCAAAGGAATTCTTCTGTGATTCAGACTTTATCATCCATCTGTAAGATGTTCCTTATGACACTAATTTCAAGTTGAAATAACCGATCGCTAAGGGTTGGGGATTGAATTGTGAAGCGTGGTTCATGACCTAAGATATGAATTTGTGGACTTCTCCTTAACCAAGGCAATTATTGTCCTCATCATTGTCATTTGTTATCTGCGATGCGAGTAGATTTGGATTGAAGTAGGCTTCTAGTGGAAGAATTCATGCAAAGTAATTCAAGGTTCAAGGCATTCAAGGCAGGGTTTTGTTCAACATGGCATACCTGGTTGATGGGCTTACAAGCTCTTATGAGACCTTGAGATGCATAATCACGGGCCAAGTTCAAAGATACGTGGATAAGATCTGTTGACTTCGGATAAAGTAAGCTTTGAAAAATTAACTTTGGGACCAAGTTCTCCCTTGAAATTTCGTCTAATATGTGTTAGGCATTCAAGTTGCATTTGAAGAATGGTATGGAAAAAGGAAAAGAAATATTAGTTCAGAAAAGGAAAATTTCATTAAAAATCAGGGTTTCTATCCATTGATAAATGTTCAAGTAATTGAAGATCAGGGGAAATAAGGTTTCATGTTAATCTTGATCATATTCTTTCATTATCATTTATGTCCATATTTGATGATTTTAGGTCGTCAATTAGGGAAGGACCTTGTCGAGATAAGAGACTTGTGGATTGAATCGTGGAATATGAGGCATGATACAAAAGGCAAGGTTATGATTTTTTTAGGATCAAGATCTTATTGACTATTCAAATTACTTATCATACAAGTTGATTTGGATTCAAGATTGAAGTTAGGAGTTCATTGAGAATGCAAGTGTGATTTAGATTTGAAGTTTGATTTGAATTCAAGATGTTCGAAAGTGTTTGATTGGATTAAAGTTGGCAAAGAGCCTTAAGTATTGGTCATATGAGTTTCTTGGAAGGTAAGGTAGAGACTGCAAGGTCTTGTTTCAAGTTGGAGTTCATCCGCATTACAAAGATGTTAATCATTATTCCAGATTCGAGTTCACATGTGTTCAAAATTTATTCAAACCCTTTCATTCATGATTCAAGAAAATACTATCCAATTTCATTCAATTTCGTTCAAGTGTAACAATACCCCACAAGAAAATTTGATGCTTTCATGTCTTCAAGCATTTTTAAAGTTAAAGTTTCAAGATTTTGTCATTTAAACTCCGTCCATAAAATTCATCACCCGACATTTCAAGCTCAAAGTCGTTTACAATTCACACTATAGTATTCAAAGTTCATCCAAATTAACCATTCACTATAAAACCATTACAATCCCATTACACCAATAATCCACAAAGAAAAACTATTACAAAATGTACTTGAACAAAATTCCTTAGTCCTAAAGATGCTAAAATTCCATGAGTAAACTTCCAAGTCCATGCCATGCCAAAGCTCTCCATCTTCATGTATTCTTCAATCTTCATACCCCAAGCGAACTTACTTGTTGCATTCTTCAAACAATCGTCTGCACAAAAAAAACCAGATACAAACTGTAAAATCAGTTGAGATAATGCTTAAAACCAATTCAATGCCCGAAAGTCCATTTCATCCCCAACTTTTGAGGCTAGAAGTAGACAGTTCTTATCTTGTAGATAAAAGAAGGGCAGGTATATCTGAGAATCATAGTCAAAGTGGTCAAGTAAAGCAGTTGACCAAGGTTATATCACAAAACAGAAGTCTCATGGATGACTCATGGATAAACAAGATAATGTGGGAAGAGCTTGACAGGCCTAAGATGAAACCAAAGCTTATATTTGATCTTCAGGATAATCAGATGCACTTCGAAGTTCTGGATAGCAAGGACAGTACCCATCTTCTCCTTCATGCTAGGGCTATGATCTTAGCCCGCTCTTTGAATTCCACTAACACAGACTCTTCTGAGCTACCGGGACTTGGAGGTTAATATGGATGGAGACACATTGCTAATGACAAACATTATTCAAATCGGAAAACTTCTCAACGACTGAAATCAAACTAAAAAAAAAACGCTCTGCTCACGGTGTCAAAATTTTTCACTCGCAACCTGCACTGAAACTGCAGACCATAAAATTGAATTTGAGCAATAAAGATATTACAAATTTTCACCGGCCTAGAGCACTGTGGTATCCCCATGATAATAAGGTGGCTGTTAAAGAACAAGGAGATGTTATAAGTGACGATTCAGCTTATGATTTGTTGAGTAGTAATACATCATCGAACAAGGGTCAATATTGGATCCCTACACCTTCTCAGATCATAATCGGTCCTACATAGTTTTCTTGTCCAGTTTGCTGCAAAATCTTCAACAGATACAATAACATGCAGATGCATATGTGGGGGCATGGATCATAATACAGAATTTCTAAATTTGCTACATTTAACTAAATCAAAAACAAAATTTTATAAATATAAAAAATAACTACCAGCAGCTAACCAACTGCACTCACCAATAAACTGTCAAGCAAAACTTTTCTAAACAGCCCTCTAAACTTCTAACAGATTCAGTAACCTCCAAACTGTTTTTTCCTAAACCAATTTCTATACCAAACTTTCTATCAGAATCCTAACATCTAACAGAATTTCACCTCTAACTAACTCATCTTGCTAACCTTCATATCATCATTGATTCCTTAACCTACTCCCCAATCTAACAACCCATATTCACTCTCCTAACAGAATTCTAACTTTCAGTCCAACTAACCTATAACCATCTACAGATTTTCCAGCTAACTTCCTAACAGAAAAACAAACTCTCTAACTGCCAGTCTATAACTAACTACCCAACCGCCTATAAAAAACTTCTAACCCAACTAACTCCTAATAGCAGCAATAGAATTATATAACTAACTCCCTCAATCCAATGGAAAGAGGCTCAATCTGTAACCAACTTCATAACTGTTTTCATTCACAACTTCCTCTATAAATAGAAATTCAGAGATTGCAGAGAGGGAGATATATATCATCATTCAGTTCAGATTCATTACAGTTATTCAACACACAGAAAAGTCTCAAGAAACTCACAAAAAAATATCACGTTTCTCTTTGCAGTCTCTGAAAATCTGAGTTTTTCTTTGCATCATCTTCAAGCAACATTGTCGATCTTTCTCTTTGAACCTCTTCATCAACTTCCTCTCTCTGCGACATCAACACCCCAAGCGCATCAATTTGAAATTCATCCATGATTCTTCAACATCAATATTCACATTTCATCACCTTCTGCAGAAGTTCTTCATCACCAAAACCATCGCCAGAACAACAAGAAACACATAAATTCAGGAGAAGAGAAAGAAAATTCAAAACCAGAAGCGAAAAGTAGTGAAAAAAAACATTACCTGAGATCATAACATCACCGGAGACTCGCCGTCAACATCGCCGTTCTCACTGGTAAATCACCTCTTCTCTCTCAATTCTACTACTTTTCTTGACAACACGATGTAACCTTCGACTCTCCGAGTATTTTCCCCATGCCTCTGGTTCGAATGTATTCATCATCATCGCCTAATTTTGGTTTCTAGGTATGTGAGTTTAGATTGAGAGAATTAAATGAGGAATTTGAGAAAACAAGTTTTGAATTTGGAAATAGGAGGATGAAAGGGTTGGTGATAGGGCTCATGAGTTAATCCCCAGCATGGCGGAGCAGTCATCAGATTTTCGCAAGAGAGAAAAGAGATTTTGTTCTGAAGCTGAAGCGTTCATTCTTCTTCACCCTACACGCCTCTTAAACGACATCATATTTAGTTCTTGACACATTTAAATTGTGTTATTTGTCATTATAAATAATTAATTATTGTTTAATAGAATAATGGTGATTACTGTTGTTGATCAAGTACAGGGGCCGAACTACACTTCCATTTCCTAGGCCTATCGCAAGTGCTTTTTGGTAGCCTGAAGAATTTGAACAAAAAAAGGTTGATTATGTTGGTGGGCTTAAGCCTCATTCTGACTTTCTGCTTTATGCCTTCACTTCCAGCATACACCCCCTCTGTATCAATTTTAGCTTCACCTTCTTATGATTTTCATGATAAAAATGATATACAAAAATAGTAGCATATTTTTAGAATTCTCTAGAACTTTTCTTTAGAATTTTATTAAAACTTTCTATTATTTTATGTTTAATAATTGTTTTCATTATCATTTTTTTAGTTAAAATTTTGTGGTAGCATGTTGATATAACTTTCGCGATATGGAATGCTTGGAGGCTAATTCTTTGATTATTCATGCGGAGCAACTTCTGTAGAGTTTTCCTACCACTAGCGTGGCTTTGAAGAGGAAACGAACCTTCTCCGTTCGGTATCATCGCGTCCTCAATTTATCCCTCATTTCCACACTTTATCATGTTTCTTTACCGCTTTCTAGAAATCATGAGAAGTAGGGGCTTTACCGCAAACTATATGCATGCTAATATTAGGTAGACGTTTCCCTTTCATCCATCCTTGACTTAGATCAAACAACGCATGATAAAATTAGGTTTAAAAATAGGCTAGTCTCCCCTTGACTTTTCTTTCCACTTTTTGCATATGCTTTTAAAACAAAAACTTCTTATTTTTTCTCTCAAACTTCAAAATACTAAAAAAAATTTACTGACGAGAATCGTATTTTTGTTAAGCATGAGAAATGATAAGTGGGTCTCTTCTCGATCTTATTGTTTTTCCATTCTAAGCCTCGGCATGGTTCAAGTCTCAAAGAATCATTTCATGAATAAGTAGAGACATGGCTAAAATCTCTCTCTTGAGGTCAACTAACTGTTATCTACAAGCAAAAATACCAACCAATACAAACCCTTTTTGCCTTCGGGCCTTTCTTTCGAAATTTTTTCAAAAGAACAAGTTAATTCACTTCTGTGCTGACGTGTAAATCTCCAAAGGTCGAGTTGCAGCAGAAGGCGAAATTAATACTGTTCATTAAAAAATACAAACCAACAAAAAATATGAGCCTAACTACGGCTGCTCTGATTCCTTAAAAGGGATACGTAGGCATCGAGGTAGGGCTCGAACAAGCACAACTTTTATTTTCCCTACATTCTTTTCGCTTCTATTTTGCATGCATTCTCCCTTTATCAATAATAAACAAATAAATATAGATTAAACACACCCATAAGATAGATAACAAGAGTGGACACCATAGAGTACTACGGGCGTGTAGGGTGCTAATACCTTCCCCTCGCGTAACAGACTCCCTTACCCTTATCTCTCTATCGCAAGACCGTGACTTCTCCCTTCTCAGGTTTTCTCGATGTTTACCTTTCCCTACATATGGGATAAAAGACGTTCGATGGTGACTTCATTGTTTAGATGATTTTCAGCCGGTCGTTTCAAAGCGGTGCAGATCACATCCTGCTCGAAATCCATGAAGGGATAAACAGCCAGCATCTGGGCAGAAGATCCTCGTCAGGAAAGCTTTGCGAGCAGGCTATTACTGGACCACCATGCAACATAGTGCAAAATAATAGATGAAAAAATGAGACAAATGCCAACGGCATGGGGACATGCATTTAGACCTCCTCGACCCGTTTGTGGTGGGGACCAATCAAAACAAATATTTGATAGTAGCCTTCGACTACTTCACCAAATGGATAGAGGTCGAAGCATTGGCCAAACTTACCACCCAAAATGTCCTTTGCGTCTACAAAAGAAACATCCCTGCTTGGTTTGGTATCCCACAAACAATAGTCACCGACAACGGGACCTAGTTCATAGATCAGACCTTTCAAGAATTAGTCACCAAGTTGGGCACCACACAACACTTTTACTTTGTCAAGAATCCCCAGACGAACAACTAGGTCGAATCCACAAACAAGGTGATACTCAGAGGCCTCAAACGAAGGTTAGACGAAATTAAGAAAATATGGGTTGAGGAGCTACACAACATACTTTAGGGATACCGAACAACAACGCACTCGTCAATAGGGGAGAATTCCTTCTGACTAACTTATAGAACGAAGGCCGTCATTCCCGTAGAGATCGAAAAACCCTCCAAGCGAACCGAAGCTCCCCCAGACAAGGAGATGAATGACGTCACCCTACGGAAAAAACTAGATCTGATCGAAGATATCCGAACATGAGCGGCCCTACAAGAGGCCTCCCTCAAACAAAAAACAGCCACGTGCTACAATTCCAAAGTTATACAATGAGAGTTCGAGGTCAACAATCTTGTCTTAAAGAGAAATCACAAAGAATCTCGCGAATACACGCTCGTAGAAAATTGGAAAGGCCCTTATCGTGTCTATGCAAAACTAGGGACCAGGACGTACTATTTGGAAAATCTACAAGGGGAACAACTCGCTCGATCATGGAACACTGAAAAGCTAAAACAATATTATAGTTAAAACACTGAGTAGTCGGTGAGTTTCGTCAACAAGACAATTCTATCCAGGCCCGAACATGCGTGCATGCCTAGTATAATATGGCAGGAGAACTGACTTGGGATGTTTTGTGTTTGATTTCAATAGCTGCGGATAGAAAGAGTCGCCACCGACTTTTCTTTTATCCAATAAAAGAAAGGGTGAAAAGAACAGGAAAGACCTTTGAGATTATTTTCTTGAGTTCAGGGGATAGATTATGAAAAACGAAGGTGTTAGCACCCTTTTCATCCATAGTTATATATGGGATCTTAGTTGCTTGCTAGATCATTACTTTTGTTTGAAAGTATGCTTTTGTGGTGGTTTTTTGAAAGTATTTGTGAAAAGCGCCTCCGTTTAGGCAAACTTTGTAATGATTCTTGTCTTTATAAGAACATATACAAAGTGTTGGAATTTTGAAAATATTTCACGCTTTCAAAGTGTTTAGTGTGTGTTTGGAAAAGATGTTTGTTTTGAAAATGAGAAAGCAACTAAGAACGTGTCTACCTACTCAAAAGTCTTTGTTCTTCTCCTCCTTCCTTAGATATTACCATCTTACTATTGATTGATAAGAAGCTTTATTTTTGGATGTAAAGGGACAAGCGTGGGTCATCGTATAGTCATGATAACAATGTTGTGAGATATCTTAGCATATCTCTTGAGGGACTAAGATAATTTATAAGGCAACATTTGAAGCGTCATCAAGGGACTGTGATCTTGTATTTTGATTGTTTTTTCTAAGACGTCTCACATGCATAACATGACTATTTTTATAAGGCAACAAGTGGAATTACCCTAGGGGTGCATGTGTGAATACTGTGTTTGATTTGAATGCATTTTGTCTTTGATTTTTGGATTATCTACTTTTTGGTTTTATCTTGCCATACATACCCTATTTTACTAACATTTATACAAAAGCAATAAAAATGCAGAAAATAAATCCTACACTATTACAACCATATTGAATAGCGAGAAAATGTAAAGACAAAACAAAATAAAAAAGGGAAAATAAGTTCTATCGATCCAGGCAGCAGCATCCTTCGATTCTGCTCTTCCTGACTTCTTTCGATATAGGGTCTGAAGTCAGTGGAGTCATGCCCTCTGATTTTCCTTTCCGTCTCCTTCGACTGGGGGTTGAAATCAGTGTGGGCACGCCTTTCGTCTGGGCCTGGGAACAAAAAGTTATGTGTTTCGTCTGAGGCCTGGAAACATCAAGGTTCTGGCTTTCGTCTGAGGCCTAGAAATAGTAAGGTTTTGGCTTTCATTTGAGGCTTGGAAATAACAAGGTTCTTGCTTTCGTCTGAGGCCTGGAAATAGCAAGGTTCTGGCTTTTGTCTGAGGCCTGGAAACAACAAGGTTCTAGCTTTCGTATGAGGCCTGGAAACAACAATGTTATGGCTTTGCTACAGGCTCCTTGCTGACTCCTTGTAAGCATATTAAGCCCTCATATTGTGATTCGAAAGGTTTGTGCAGCTAGCCAATCGAAGGGTATAACAAACCTGTCTTAAGTTCTTAAAATGCAACATCCAAACATAACTACAGTCCAAGGGTCAACACAAAAACCAAAGGGTCTCAAAATCCAAATCATAACTAATTAAGGTTAAGTTTTCAGCACATGGGCAGTCAGAATCAAAATCTAAAACGTGGTCTAGGAATATCTACATTTTTCTTTATTGACATGTGCACATGATATTTAAATGAAAGAGTTCCAAGTTTAGAGAGAACTTACCTCTTAGAGTGCTTAATCGAAAGAGCTGTAGGTGACTTCCTTGGCGGTGGAGGGAGCTTCGCTGGAATCTTCCTGAAGCTAGCTCAGTTACTACTTGGTTTGGGCCGTCACTGAATCAAAAGTGTATGATGGTGATGAGTGAACCGAAGGTTATTACGCTAAAGTTTAGGGGAAATGAATCGAAAGGTATACTACTGAGGGTTTTTTGTGAGAGAAAAAAAAGGTCTTAGAGTTTTGAAGGTTTGAGAATGTTGGAGAGTTTGAGAATATTGGAGAGTTTGAGTGCTGGAGGATTTTTATGATTTTTCTCTCTAGCAAAAATCTGGACCCTTTCTTTGTCAATGGTTTCTCTATTTATAAGGAAAAGGTTTGGGAGTTTGGACAAAGATGTGGCTTAGCTGAAACGTGAATATTAAGTTATGTCAT